TTTTTTTTTTTTTTTTAAGATGGAGTTTCTCTCTTGTTGCCCAGGCTGGAGTGCAATGGTGCCCAGGCTAGAGTGTAATGGCACCATCTCAGCTCACTGCAACCTCCGCCTCCCAGTAGCTGGGATTTGAGGCATGTGCCACCACGCCCAGCTAATTTTTGTATTTTTAGTAGAGACCGGGTTTCACCATGTTGGCCAGGCTGGTCTCGAACTCCTGACCTCAGGTGATCCACCTGCTTCGGCCTCCCAAAGTGCTGGGATTACAGGCGTGAGCCACTGCGCCTGGCCGCATTTTTCATTATAGAGTAATAAAACTTCATTTAAAATATTTTAGAATATATTACTACACTTCCAACACTATTTCTGTTAATAATTTTGATCTCCTCCCATTGATCCTGCTTATTTCCCCACCCCTCCAGCTCACTGTATACTATAACCCAGTTTATTCAATAAAGGATGTGAAGTAGATTTATAACCACGCCTTTATAAGTGGATAGGCAGATCATTTCTGTATCTTTGCTACCAATGACAATGCAACAGTTTTATGCACATAACCTATACTTTGGGTTGTTTTACTGATTGATTTCAAGAAGGTATTTCATCAGAGAAGAAAATAACTTGATCAAATTGCTTTCTAGCCAGGTGAAGTGGCTCACGCCTGTAATCCCAGTACTTTGGGAGGCTGAGGCAGGTGGATCACCTGAAGTCAGGAGTTCGAGACCAGCCTGGCCAACATGGCGAAACACCATCTCTAATAAAAATACAAAAATTAGCCCAGTATGGTGGTATGTGCCTGTAATCCCAGCTACTCAGGAGGCTGAGGCAGGAGAATCACTTGAATCTGGGAGACAGAGGTGGAAGTGAGCTGAGATCGCACCACTGCACTCCAGCCTGGGTGACAGAGTAAGACGCTGTCTCAAAAAAAAAAAAAAAAGAAGAAGAAGAAGAAGAAGAAAGAAATAAAAATAAAAAGAAAAAAAGAAGAAATTGCTTTCCAGAGAATTTGTATCAATTTGTAAAATCAACAGCAATATGTCAGTTTAACTGTGCCCTCACCCACACTAGCTATTAGCTTTTAAAAAGGGAGGGATGGGAGAGAACTGCAGAAGTCAACATTGTCTTTTGTTGTCAAACCAGAAGTCAGTCAAATTATAAGTCTTAAACACCAATTTTAATTAAAGGATGTGACTATGGACCCAATTAGTGTCCAGAGTTTGCTAAATCTTTTCTTTTTTGCCTACCTATCTTCTCCTTTATATTTACTCTCTAGTACATGGCTTTCCTTCTTTCACATACTTTTTTCTTACCCACCAAACCACACATTTTGCCAAGAGTATATACTTACTAGTGAGAAAATATATTTGTGGGTGTACTCCACTGGACATGTGTGTGTGCGTGTTTGTATATACTATTCTTAACGTATATATACTTGCATATGTGCATCTATGAAACAAATGTTTTTGTATTTTCTTGTAAAAATGTTGTTAATACAAAAAAGTGAGGTCATGAGGAGAGGAAATAAGCTAATTTGATGTGTGATAATTATTTTAAAAATACATAATCTGTTTATTATGCTTTGCTTATTTACCTACTGTGGTCTCTGTTTTTCTCTTAGCAATATATTTAATATAAAGATAAAATCCTATGTCATATTTACTTCCCAAATACATAAGCCCTTTTTTAAAATGTCAAATTTGTTGATTTTTTGGTGTGTTTGCCTCATCTGTCTTTAGGCTGAGAGATGTCCCTCATTTAGACCACTAGTTTTCCAAACAATGAACACTGAAGGACAGATGATATGACCTAATCTGAATCTTCACTGCAGGTCCATTTTAAATCTTGACCAGCTCTATAATTTTCCC